TGGCTATAACACACTGTAAATAACTGAGCTGAGGGTGCAGCCACATATGTCTCAACCACCAATACATTATACTATATTGTAATACAGCTAACTCTTCCTCTGTGGAGCAGAGAGAATGCAAATGTATTGCAAGGTAACCCAAAAGTAGTTCTAAAAAAGAAATTCCCACATTTACTTTTGAGAGCTCTGTACAAAAAGGTCAAGTGGTAGCTTGTAGTGAAGTTGCAGATTGCAACCAACTGAAACCTTTGTCTCAACTAAGCATATAGTACAAACTACAGTGGCCACAAAACTATCAAAAAACTTCAAAGGCCCTACTGTAGAAACATGGCGGTTCAACATGTCGGACTCTGTAGAAGAGGACCTGCTCCCTCTGTAGATATAAAAACGTCTCATTCTGAGGTAACAAAAACACAAAGACTCTTATTTTCAGGTGATTATAGACTATTGAAAACATACCTATGAATATTATATGCCATTACTGACAATAGATCCTCCTCAGTATTACACGCTGGACCTTTAACATTTGGTGACATAATAAATTACATATATTTCAGGATTATTTGTTATGAAACATATAAATGTGTATTGTTTATGTGTCAAATGATGACATGATAAATAAAATAAATAAAACCCAGGTTTGAATAGAAATGTGTTTGTACTGAATGTGATTGTAGAGGTTCAGTGCAGAGAGGCTGGAGTTTAAGATTCATGCAGTTCTTTGGCTCCATCTGCTGCTAATTGTTTGCTACTGCAGTATAGTTCCTGCAGAGGTAACACCAGCAAGAAAACTAAAACAACACACTAAGAAAAAACATATGTTTAGCTTTTTTAATCTCAACTTCCTTACAATAATGTGTCTGCATATGTTGTAGATTTCTGCACATCAAACCACATTCACAGGAATTAAATTATTTACCCTTGTAGCACTGGTGCCAGGCTTAGTCCCTTAAATTAACATACCAACATGCAAGCATTGTGAAATGCTGTACTCAGCTCAGAGAAAGCATTATTAGGAGCAGGGCAGGAAGGAGCAGTGTTTTTTTATATAGTTGGAAAGCAACAGAGTTCTATTACAGCAAAATTGTTGTATAGAAATGAACAAAAGTACATTTTTCAGTCTGTATAAAAACAGGTTGTGTTTGCATGAATATCTATGAAGGGTGTACAGTCTAGTCTTTATCCACAATTTGTTTCTCTCTTAATCAGCATTTACATTTTTCCACTGAGATATAATCTCTTTTTAATGAATAATTACCAAATACATTGAGCTGATCTAGATTAGGGATATTGCTGGCACAACTTCATCTACTTCCAAGTGCATTGAGAAGGTAAACAGTCTGAAAAGGTAAAATCTCCAGCAACACTACTGATGAAGGCCAAAAGCTGAAAACAAGTGTTTGAACCTCTTCAAAATGGACCACTTCAAAATACACAGAGCATATACCAGTAACACGTTTAGCTTGGTTTTAAGTTGAAATCTTCACCATTTATGCTCATAGCTTTTACAACTTGTACACAAATAATCTTCTTTTACCGACTGCTGCCTTGATCAGTGGATGTAACTTTAATAGTAATCCAGTTTTTGAAGTCATACTAATGTCACTTATCTACCATCACTAAGTGCTGTTGTTGCACTCAACCATTCAGTCATCTGACTGAAACCATCACAGCTAACCACTAGCTTACATTTTCTAATTACATTTACTGTCAGCTGAGGTTAGCACACTTCTGGTGTCTTAAAATATATTTACAAAATATATTTCCTAAACCTGGCCTACATGCCTTCTTTTCCAATGACTTGTGTTTAAAAGATAAAATAGATTCTGTACACCATAATACAGTACAGTTTCTCTGTGAAGGAACAGCCATGAAAGGAGCAGATCACAGCTGCAGCATCAACATCATAAAAGTAGATTAGACCCTCCTCATAATGAAAAAACACTACCACCTTGGCAGGCTTTGAGAGACACACTAAAGAGTCAGTGCAAGCTTTGTACTCATTTTCATTCCTTAACCATATCGTCCAGTAACCATGCTGGGGGTGCAGTCTTTTTTTTTTCCTCCTGTTGATCGACTCTGACTACTCCTAAATCCCAGTCAGTCTTCCCCTTAACTTGAATCTCATAGTAAATTCTTCCCTAAGAGAAAATCTGCTTTCCTAAGACATTCACACAAGGATGAAATCTATTTGGATTGTCTGAGAAATTGATTAGTTCACCATGATATTTATATATATAGATATAGTTGTTTTCCAACAGACACAGACCTCTGTCCAGTCCTTTGTGGGTGGAGCCTCCTTGGGAAGCCTTGGACGAGATGGAGGTGGTCTTCAGAGTGTGAGAGCTGGTCCACCTCAGAGCTTCTCTTCTTCAGCTCAGAGATTTCCTGTTCCAGCTCTTTGATGAAGTCTTCAGCCTGTTTCTCTATTGTTTTGTGTTTATTATTAATCATTTCAATAAGCTGGGCCTGACTTTCTTCAACACACTCTATCAAATTAGTAAAAACTGAACACCATCTGCTATCTCTCTGTCTGCACCTTCCTTACTGAGCTCCACTGAGCGTTTGATCTGAATCTTCAGTTCGTCTGCCTTCTGGATCATCTGTTGAATTTCACCTCCTGTCGGTTCCCCAGCTCAGCTTCTTTTGGCCTCATATTCTGCTTTCTCAGAGAACAACATCGATCTGTCTTTGTGGTCTAAAACAATGCAATACATCTCGTCCACTTTGCAGAACAGTTCCAACGGTTTGTTGTGCTTCAAGCACATGTTGTCTTCTAGGTTCTCCACAGGGTCGATCAGCTGATGTCTTTTCAGGCCTGACACTGTCAGATGAGGCTCCAGGTGAGTCTCACAATAGGAGGTCTGACGTACAAGGCAGGACTTCAGGGCCTTCAGTTTAGTTCCAGTGCAGATGTCACAGGAAATGTCTCCTGATTCGGCACATCTTTGTTCTAAGCTGCTGTTGCTGATTGGTCTGAACTGAACAGCCATCTGAGAAATCAAAGTATTGCCACGCAGCTCTGGTCTTGCGTAGAAAACATCTTTACACACAGGACAATGGCAAGGGACTTTGACATCCCAGCGTTTAGTAATGTAGTTCTAATGCAGGCTTTCTGTTATAAATTTGTAGTTTCCAAGCCTAAGTTGAGATAACCCTGACAACATTTACAGACTTCAATTGGCTTATTTTTTATCAGATAAAGATGTTTACATGAAATTCCATTTGACGAGACATATCTGAAATACAATGAGTGAAACTTATCTCCAGCTGTACTCACCAGTGTTATACAGAGACTTGTTGTTGTTGTTTTTGTTTTTGAGAAAGTCCTGATGAACTTACTTTAGTTTAGATTTTCTTTTGAGAGGTCGGCTGTCGCTCTGCACACTTTCAGTTTCATCTGTGGAGTTAGGTGTCAAGGCTCTCTTGTCTTTCCAGTATTGCTCTGTCAGAGATGTTTTGTTGCCTCTCAGGTTCTATGACCATTATTATCTTACCATCAGTCTAAGTTTAGCTTACTGTGTTACTGCAAAGTCTAACTGCCATGTTGATTGACAAAGGATTACATATTTTAGGTTGTTGTTTTTACTACATTTTGTTTATCCATTTCTGGGGAGGGTGGAGACATTGAACTGGAGTTGACAGTCTAGTTGTGCACACACACTTATCCTGTGCAATGAGGAATTATAGCTAACATTTTCCCACTTTCAATTAAAGTGGGGAAATAAAGTAATGAAATAATGTCACTGTGTCTTCAGATCTCAGGTGTTAACTTCATTTAGTATATAACTGGTAGAAATGGAAAGAACCACAAAAAGAGGACCCAAATTGTAGTATTAATTCTGAATTTTTCTTTAATCATCTATTGCAGAAGAGACAACAATAAGCATAACCATAGCAGGACCAGAATGTATTGCAGCTACACTGCATGTTGATGAACCAGTCTGATCGTCTCATCTAACTGGAAGATCAGGTTAATGAATCTCTGTTTGCTAAGGATGGTCTGCCCTCCCTCCCCTGTGTGCATGTAGGGGACAGAGCATGATTAATAATAAATGTGTTGCCTAAAAATGAACATGAAATTTGATTATGGCTGATATAGTTCATGAAAACTGGCTTTTAGTTCTTGTAGTGGAAATTTCCATGTGACCTGTAGTATGTGTTCCAGGTAAACATTCCTTGTTACATTCTTTCTCAACCCTCTTCATGCTCCTCCATACACACTCCTTTACATCCTCTAATGTAGGCGTGCCATCTTGTTTTGTGTGTTCTACTCCTCCCACAGCTGAATGAACTGAACGCATCATCCAATCTGCATTTTTCACAGTTCTTAATAAACAGCAGTTGTAGTTGAGATCAAAATGAAGGCCGAAGATAGGTGTGGTCCAACTAATGACTACTGAGTATTCACCAGTTGGAGCGTCAACATCGTGATGGGCTGGTGTGACCCCATCGCAAAATTAGAATCCTTTTTGCTGCTGAACTACAGTGCAAATCTCTGGACATACAGAAGTTGTCTAATTATTTGCACAAATATGCACAAGAGGGAAACCAGAAAACAAACAACTGAGGAGGAACTGTTTCGATTTTCTTTTATGAGTACGGTTCACTTGATTACACATTACACGTTCTCATATTGCAGAATCGGGAACCATATCTGATCAGCACTTTTCCTAGTTTTTGACAGTCTTGATCTGGGAGTTTTTTTTGGCTGCGGTTGAGCTTGGACGAACTCACTAGAAATGAGTTGTCAATCACAAGGTAGCCCCGCCCTAAAGCATACCCTGCTTTATGGTCTGTTTGACGCTGTTCATGCTGTATGGAAGAAGAATAAAACTAGAGACTGAGACCAGAAACTCAGGAAACTGTTTACTGAGCCAATAAATCAAGTCAGAAGAGACTACATGCTATCTGTATTTTATTGAGCTCCCTGCTGGTCAATATTTGAGCATTGTAAGTTTTAAGGAAAAAAAGTCTCCACAAACTTCAGTAAACAAAGTTATTTTAATAAGAAATCTTTAATGTATTTCATGGCATTAACAGTGTGTCATGTGTAAATATGTGTTTTTTGACAAATGTTGAACACCACACAAACAGGATATATAACAAGTAGTTACACTGATTTGGCATTTCTTGTTTTTACATTGTTAAGAAGACGCACAATGCAGAAACGTTGAGTAACCTTATTTTGGATTCAGGCTTTTCATTAATTTTTTCATGATACGTAATTTGTTTATTGCATAATCAGGACCAAGATATGTACTCATTATTGGGACATTTTACAGTGTAAAAATAAATATTGTTAAGGTTTTGTTATTAAACAGATAACATATGATACGTTTTTAAGTCTTGTGAAAGCAGCTAAACTGCCTGGAGCAAGAGGATGTATGTCCCAAACGCTTGATAAGCCTGTTTCTTGCAGTGAATAACTCTAAAATAACTCTTTGTTATAATGACATTATCACTAACAGTTACAGTGTATGGCTCGGTCATGCAGTGAGTGACGCTAAAGTAAACTCATGTGTGGCAGATTTATTTTAATAGAGCACTCCCCAGGTATCCAGATGAGTTAAGAGACTTGTGTCCTTCCTTCATTCTTTCATTCCTTCCTTCCTTTCTTTCTTCCTTCCTTCATTCATTCCTTCCACTTCCAGTTTCTTAAAGACCACATCTATACCACTGTTCCTTATTTTTAATTTTCTACAACCTCTGTCCTTGTTCATAAAACTGGTTTAATTCAAAATCTTACTAGAACAAACATTGACATTGGCAGCCAATCATTGTCACTGCAATCGTATGCCTGGCTGCAAAAACCCATCTCACTAGCAAAAGCATTCTGTTTTTCTGTCTCAGTCTGGACTCTGGACATTTAGACTCAGTGACTGGACTTTAACTTCTTTGGTCTTGATTAGTCCTGGTCTTGGACTTGTCTTGAACTTAACAAAGGTGTTCTTGTCTAAAGCACAAAACTGAATGTTCTGTTAGAACTATGAATGACAAAACTCACTTAAAATTAAATTCATAGCTTGCATGAGTAACATTAGTTACGTTAAGTTGTCAAATACTGCTGACTAATCAATGCCCCTCGGCTTCAAAATAAATGGTCCTATAGGTATTCCTCTAAGTTCATTTCTGGACGCGTCTGCGAATGAAGTCAGGTGACAGGTGTTAGACTTTAAGAGGCCGCTGTTTGTGTCCTGTGTAAAAGCAAAAAGAAAACAATTTCTTCAAAGTAATGTATGTAACTTACAATCTTTTTCTAATCCTAACCAAACTGCCACCGTTTGCCAACATTAACCACGCAGGGTAACTAAAGCATCATATTTTAAAACGGAGGGCCACTGATCAGGCGGTATTTGATGAGTTGGGAGAGAGAACGTGTTGGACACTTGATGTTGAAGTCATTTGTCTAATTTGATCTTCAAACTTCAGGTTATTCAAGCTGCAGTATGAAGGCTTGAAATGGGAATACAGAAGTTTTTTACATTTTATATAATGTACTAAAAAATAAATTGATAAATAGAAAAAAAAACGATGACAATAATTGTTGTAGTCCCAGATATCATTAATTTCAATGTGATTGATGACTAATAAAAAAAAAATCCTGCATGCATTCTTATGTTGTTAAACAATGAACACTCAAAATATATTAGATTATAAAGTATTTAAAACTGTGTGTGTTCAGCTGTAAGACATAATATACTGTGTTGGCTACAGATCATTCATCTCATCATGTAAACATTTTTGATCATCACAAACAGATGGAAGCCAGTGTGATTAAAATGAAGTCTGACCCCCCGTTTAACGTCATATTCCACAAAAAAATATAACGATAATCTTTCAAATCAGACTGTTGGGTTAATTTAATCCACGAGTCTCAGCTTTCCAGTCATTCCCAATTTATGCAGTTCCAACACTGTTTATGGACTGCAGTATGCAGAAACATTCAAATACACTAAAATAACACATTTATACTGCATGCAAAGAAACTACATGGGATTAGTATAAAGTGGGAAGATCGAGAAGGGAAGACTCGTGGGTACCCATAAAACTCAATTTTAATCAGATATGTTGTGGTTAGAGGTCCAGGGACTTTTAAAATAGCCATGCAAGTTTTTTCATCTGCAAAATTTTAAATTAAATTTAGCCTGAAGGTCTTTGAACAAGGTCTATATTTTTTGTCTGAAATTAAAAAATTTAAAAAACAATTTATTTTTTCTCAAAATGCTCAAAACTAGGTGTGCAAACCAGAACGAAGATGGTTCCCTGTTGGTGGAAAACGCCTAATTTAGACTTACTGGTTCAAGAAAATACTTTAGCAACTGGCTTCCTTCACCCTCTCATGATTCGTGGGATCTCCATCAGATGGCTTTTCCCAGGATGAGGATACTCATGAAGAAGACCATAATGAAGAAGAGCCACATGAAGAACCGATCCATGACCTTGGCGACCTTCCTCCACTCCCCAATGCGTAGCTGCGCAGCTCGCTGGTCCTGGTATGAGTTGGCAATGTACTCAACGTTCCTGCGCAGTCCCTGGTGCTGGCACACACACTGGGTTCTCACCAAGATCTCTCTGCTGTTCTCCCTGGCTCTGCCTCCCCCTTTACCTCCTACACCTTTCTTTTCCTCAACATGCTCTCCTCCTCCTCCACAGGCACTGTTTGACTCCCCCCGCTCTACTTCCTGTCCTCCAGCAGCTCCTTCCTCCTCTGAGTGGTTGATGGTCACAAACAGATCCTCTTTCCAGTCCATCTGGATGGTCAAATCCCGCTCCAGCTTCATAGACTCCTCAGCACCCTCCTCCTCCACCCTCCCTCCCCACGCCTGCCCGTTCATGTCCCAGTTTGTTCCTTTGGTGTTGTTGCCGCCATTGGCCGACGGGGCTTCAGACTCCCCCTGCGCCAGAGGTTGTTTGCTGGATGTGGTCGCACCAAGGCAGTTCTCCCCAACTTCGTAGACGAAACAGATACGAGCGAGGTAGTTAAGGATGAAGCGTTCGGCCCACTGCGGGACGGGACGAGCCTCGGAACCGCAGTGGTGGATGTTCATGATGAAGATGGTGAGCGCTGTAGATGCAGTCACCATCGTCATGGTAGCAATATAGTACTTTCCTGTTGAAAAAGAAAAAGGAATATCATTTGGAGTTCAAAATGACAATCCATTTACAGTTAAATCTTTAAATTCTCAAATACATAATGTCAGCTTTGCTTCTCTGTCAGCAGGTGATTGGTGGAGAAGGAAGTGTTGCATGATGGCCTAAAGGTCAGGGAAGATAACAATGCAAGAGCAGCACTTGTCTTTGTTACAACTAAGCAGCAACCTCTATGGCTGTAAATGAAGCCAATGTGGAAGTGCTGATAACTACAGTTTCTCTAACAGCCACTAGAGGCTGGCTCCAGCAGTGATTCAATCTACATAAGCCCCCATAATAAAACGCTGAAATAAACAGGTTTACAGCCTGGGTCCAAACACAGTTTTGGTCTCTGTAACTAATTTCCCAATTCATGACAACTGTATGGGGGGTGAATTTTTATATAACTCACTCGTTTAAATCATATTATGGCTTAAGGTTTTGCATAATTTAGAGAGTGGCCGCTTTGAGAGACAGGTGGGTGGCTTCGGCAGCTGTTTTCAGTAACAAGGCTTTTTTCTGCCCGCCTCAGCTCCACCCATGCTTCACCTCAGAAACCTATGGGTGTCACCAACACTGCGTCTACTTTTAATTATACAGTCATTGGTTGCAACCACTGAGGTGGTGCTGAACAGTTTTTTTTCTATTACATCTTGTATTTTTCTATTTTCTTTTTATTTCATATGTATTTTCTGATCTACTACTCTTTTGTGTTGTATCTGGAGCTGCTGTAACAAGCAGTGTAGGATTAATAAAGTCAATCTTATTGGACACAAGAGCTTGTATATCAAAAAACATAAATATGGTTCAAAGTAAGCACTTGAATGAATAACCAATGCAGTTTGTTTAGTTAGAAGGACAGGTTACTTTGACTCACTGTTATATCCAGAACTTTTTAAACTAGTTGTCACTCTCTAGTTGTGATGTAAGTTGTACTCTTTGTGAGGTGGAAACAGCTTAAATGCTTCCACAGAAAGCTCTAAGCTGAACTTTAATTAACAAACTCTCTCAGGTTGAAGTGCTGTTCAGATGGCTGAGAGATCATTGATTCTTGAGCTGTGATTGTTGTATTTTAAATAACCACTGACGGGCCTGATCGACCACCCAGCCTCTTGTTCATTACAATTCTGTTAGCCAGCAAACATAAACAGGGTGTTTACTGCCAGGCCTAAAAGTGTTCACCAGAAGCTTTAATGTCTGTTCAGTTTATTTGTTACAAACAAGAGGAGAGAGAGACACACACACACACAGAACAACTGCTGATCTTCTTGCCCAGCAACTTTCTCCTTCTTTATAACAGTAAACTGAAGCATTCATTTAAAATTCATTGTTCTTCCACTGATCTGAGGCTTACACTAAAAGTGGAGAGGAAGAAGATGCAGGGAAACAACAGCCGTTTGAGAAAGAGAACTATTGAAATGTGACTGAAGCTCACTTGTTCCACCTCTTACTTAAGTTATGTAATTGAGGTTTTCTTGCTTTTCTGGTTTTGCCATGATTGTAATTAGAAACATTTGGCAGTTTTTGATTTGGAGCCAAGCACAGAAGCTGTTTACTGGCACTCTTTACTGGAGACTATTTATGGTCACACTTTTTAGCTTATTAGTTGAGATTCAACAACTGTTTTATGATATTAAACTAATATGGTTAAGGTTTGGTTAAGTTTAGGTACAAAAAACATCTTGGTTTGGGTATGTTCATGGATTGTCACATACACTCTATAGATAATTTGTTTAACATCTACAGAGAAAAGCAAAACAGTTGAAATGTAACAAATACAAATGAACTATATGTAGGTGGACTGTTTCCTTTATTATTTTCTCTAGAATGGGCATCCATAGTATGCCATTTTACAGAACATATCTTATAAGAACACAAAGACAGAGATCAGTCCAAGATTTATATCGTACAGAATATTCTGTATCTTTTGTGTTTCAGCAACAAGGAAGTGCTCACACTTGTTATTTTGTCTTTTAACTTCCTGTTTGCACATGAAGTAGGAATTTGTCAGTTTTTTTACCAGTTTTCTAACAAGGACTGACAGAGTTGTAACTGTAGTGGTGCCATCAGTTCTCCACACAGCACCAGGAACACCTGGTCATGTTACTGTTATACTAGTCATGGTGACAGAGTGTGTTGGTATTGTAGTTTATTATGTGTTTATAAAATGATTATATCATAACAGAAATTATTATTGTACTATAAACAAGCTAATTGTTCCAAATTACATTATCAACAAAATGTATATATTATTACATAGTTGGGTGAAAAGATATGTTTTGATTCATGTTGATAAATCAGATTCCAGCCCAACAAAATAAAAAGAAGGAAAGCAGAATTGAAATATCCTGATGTATCCGAGTTATAAGTGCTTAATTTGTGATTTTGTCGTCTTTTTGTCTTCTTGAGTATATTTGCATTATGTTAAACCTGACATTATGGACAGGACAGATGATCAGAGTGACAGAGTTTTTACCATCATCATTGTTACAGGGATTGAAGAATGGGTAGAGTTTCTCATTGAAGGAACAATCAGTAAAGGAGTAGAGAAGAGCTCCAGTATCAACATCATAGAAGGAGACCAGCATCTCCTCATAATCCACAAACACCCCCACCTTCTCAGCCTTGGATTTCAGAGAGAGACGGACTGCGAGGGTCAGCAAGAGCTTTGTACTCATTTTCATTCCTCAACCATATCGTCCAGTAACCATTCTGAGGATTCAGTGTGATTTGTCCCTTCCTGTTGATCGACTCTCTGGCCACTCCTAAATCCCACTTAGTCTTCCCTTTAACCTGAACCTCGTAGTAAAACCTCCCCGAAGTGAAACTCTGCTTTCCTAAGACACTAGCATAATAAGAACATCTCTCTGGATTGTCTGGGAGATTCTTCTTTACATCACCACAGTAAACTTGTTTCCTATCATCAGACAGGATGAGCCAGGGATTTGCTGTATCAGGATCCAGTGTCACATCCACTGCATACTGCTGGACCCTCTTCAGCTCGACCTCAAACAGCTTCTTCATCTGTTTACTGAGCGTCTCCTCCAGCTGATCCACAGCGCTCGTCAAAGTCCCTGCACATGTCAGTGGACGGACACAGACATCTGTCCAGTCCTTGGTGGAGGGGCAGCATTCAGAGATGGGAAGCTTTGGAGGAGGTGGAGGTGGTCTTCACAGCATGAGAGCTGCTCCAGCTCAGCAACTCTTTTCTTCAGTGTAGAGATTTCCTGTTCAAGCTCATGGATGAGGCTTTCAGCCTGTTTCTCTGTTGATCTCTGCTTCCCTTCGATTGTCTCAATGAGATGATTTAGGCCTCTCTCAACAAGCTCTCGCAGAGCAGTGAAGACCAGAACACCAGCTGCTTTCTCTTTGTCTGCTGCTTCATTACTGAGCTTCACTGAGTGTTTGATCTCCTGAATCTTCAGTCGTCTCTTCTGGATCATCTGCTGAATTTCAGCCTCTGTCTTCCCCAGCTCGGCCTTCTTTTAAAGGAACAACATCATGTGTCTTGTGGTCTAAAACAGTGCAGAGCATGCAGACACACATCTGGTCGGTCTTACAGAACAGCTCCAGAGGTTTATCGTGCTTCATACACATCTTACCATGCAGATTTCACACAGGATTGATAAGCTGATGTTTTTTCAGACCTGTGACTGTGAAATGAGGTTCCAGGTGAGTTTCACAGTAGGAGGCCAGACACACCAGGCAGGACTTCAGAGCCTTCAGTTTGGTGTCAGTGCAGAAGTCACAGGAAATGTCTTCTGCTGTGGCACATTGGAGCTTTGAGTTTTTGCTGCTGACTTCATGTTGAGCAGACTCTCTGAACTGAGCAGCCATCTCAGAGATGAAAGTATTGACCTGCAGCTCAGGTCTTGTGTAGAAAACCTTTTTACACACAGGACACCGGCAAATGACACTGATATCCCAGTGTGTAGTAATGCATTTTTTGCAGAAGTTGTGTCCACATGGTGTGGCGACTGGATCAGTGAACACATCCAGACAGA